GTAAAATATGAATGGTAGAGACTCTCAATATCACACCCTCTCCATCATCACCAAATGTAGAGGGAGACAAATGAAAAGAAATGAACAGAGCAAATGAAATTATGTGCAAATCATTTTTCTTTTCTGGAAGTTCTTGCTAATGAGATGCATGCAATGACTTCTGGCTAGGACTTGAGGAACAAGTAATGATCAGATAACTTTGGAAATCTTTTCTTTGAGCTGGTTGAGACGATATTCAATTACTTTGGTAATCTTTTCTTTGGGAAAGTTTGGAAATGTAATTTTGGCTTCAAGCTTGTTGTTAGGACAAACTTCATTTTCAGTTAGTCAGATAAGTGATAACCCCAACCGAATATAATTATCTGTAAATAATTCCTTTTACCTCTGAGGAGTTGAAATGGTGTCTCGGTTGAATATCTTTTAGCCAAGAACATAAATCTCTTGGGACTGTTGGTAAATGCGTTGTATATGTTCTTTATCATTTGTTTTACTTTTGCCATCACAAATTTCAATTGCCATTTTCAATGTTATTAATACAGATGCATATTTTTCTCCATCGCGTATTAGGTTTTGGAAAATATGCCCATCTCAATTAGTCTAATTTCCCTCAAACTCGCTTCTGCAGGACAAGATGCGGTTGCAGAAAATGCACTTAGAATTGTCAACCAGCTCATTGAGCTCACAAGCTACCCACATATGATGGTATGAGTATTCGTTAAATTCAACACCCCCCCCACCCCGATAATTTCCTTCCTTTCCCTCTCTATACCCATGGAAAGCAAATATATTATTATATTCCCCAATGGCCTCTGAATATGTATAAAGGAAGGCTAGCTAACTTGATTCACATTGAAAAGCTTGAGCTGCCATGTGCATTCATTTAAGTTCTTTATACTTTGAAAGGGGACAGAGTAGGAAGAAAAATGGGTATGCCAGATCCCGTATTAACTTTTCTTCAATATTCCAATGCTTGCTAAATTAGTTTTAATCACTGGAATGGTTTTAATGGGTATGTGCCAAATCTCCAGTGCCATTGTTACAGAGTTAATATTTGCTCATCCCATAAACAAGTAGTTGAGAGTTGGGACTGATAACTTGTCACTGTATATTTTTGGAAGATGTATTCTACTAGCTTGAGAAACTGTTTCTTTCACTTGAGGAATATTTTGTAAATCTCAAGGCTTCATACAGCTGTTTCCATGTATTTAGTTTTGAAAAGGTAACCCATGCTTTTTTCACTTTTTAATTGATTCTGATTTGTTCCCTCTGATCATTATTTTTTGCTATTTCAACTCATAAAGGACCGGGTTAAAAACATCTGGAATATGTTGATTGTAGAATCAATGTTGGATTTTAATTGTGGGGTAATGTTCCTTAACCTTTTTCAGGTAATTCGTGAGACAGCAATACAGTGCCTTGTGGCAACATCTGAACTACCCCATACAAGAGTATATCCCTTGAGAACACAGGTATGATGATGATGATGATGATGATGATGATGATTATTATTATTATTATTATTATTATTATTATTATTATTTGTTTCCAATTTATAACGATCAATTATAAGCAACTTTCGAACTTTTGAGTGAAAATGTAATTATTCTTGGTCCTATATAAAGAATAACTATGCCCATGGCTTTATTCCACATGATTGAGTCAACTTATTCGATTAAGGCTGCAATTATATTTTCTCAATTCCATCCCCTTTCCTCGTTCATGCCAAAGTTTGTATGTTCACATTTTTCAGATTTTTCAGTTCTTTGAAAGTAAAAGTTCTGCAAGTTTTGTCCAAGTTTTAAGTTTTTACCTTCATGTTTAGGTTTTGCGAGCTATGTTAAAAGCACTTGATGACCCAAAATGGGTTGTTCGTCAAGAAGCTGTCAGATGCCGTCAAGCTTGGTAACATTATCTCTTATTCTCTCAATGGTTTGACTTCAATTCAATGTAGTATTCTGGAATACAAAATCTGATCGTCATTTGATGTCTGTTTCCTGTCAATAGGGCCTCGATTGCATCAAGAAGTTTGCACTTCTAAAAATATCGGGAAGAATTTCCCAGGCTGGGATGGTAAGATCTTCCGTGCGCTTACTATAAATGACACTTCAGAGTTGCTTTTAAACTGATGATTATAGCATGAACTCGATTGTGCGCTCTTTTGCAGCAATCCGTAGTTAGATAATGGCTTTGATGAAACCTTGAAAGCATCTCTTGAGCAGTGGTTCCACCAACTGTACCCATTCTAATGAAACCTTGAAAGCATCTCTTGAGCAATGGTTCCACCAACTGTGCCCATTCTTTAATCCTTGTATATATAATGGCTCCCCCTCCTCGAAGCATGTTTTTATTTTGATTGAGAAGTTATTGAATAATTCTGAGAAAAGTTAATTGTGTAATTTATTAAAATGGAAAATTATTACTTCTTTGAAAGGGCATTCAATTTATTTATTTATTTTTTAAAAGAATATTAATCAAGTCGCTAAACTCTAATTTTGTTTTAATCTAGTTGCAATTGATGGGATTTGCCAGGGATTGCATTGAAATTGGATGGAGGACTAAAATCGGATTTTTATAGGATCTGTGGACCATGAAGGTGCCACATCATCGACATCTTTGAATGTTGAAAGAAAATTTCAAAAATAATCAAGCTACATGTACATTTTAGTTGACATCATTTTTTACATTGTGCTACATATTGTAGCATTATGGAACAGTTAAAAAAAAAAAACACACTTTCCCCTTTTACACCTTTTGCATTCTCAAGCAATGTCGACGAGGGTACATCATGGAATGTACATTTGTTGGGAAATTTTTATAGGTTGGTTTATAGGTGGTGATGTGGAAGAATTTCATTAGTTGATTTTAACTTTGTCCAACAATCAATAAGGCCCTGTTTGATGGGCTTGGTTTTCCATGGAAGTAGCCAAATATTTTCCTTTTCCAACATTAATCAATGTTTGATAGCAAAAGTTTTCCATGGCATTGCTTTTCTACCTTTTCACTCCACGCCCCAATTTGCCTACTTTTTGCTGAAAATACTTTCCTAATGCTTTGCTGGGTTTATGTTTTCCAGCTTTATGGGTTTTTTTTTTTGTTTTTTTTTTTGGCAAT